TAACGGACAACGGTTTCGTTTGTGCCGACGAAAAGCACATTTTTTTGTATAAAATTAACCTACTTAATACGGACACCGGTTAATACAGAAAACTTGATGGACACTTTTCTTTGTCCCGAATCGCAAACTCTCGTATACCCGTTAACCTATTTATCTGTGTACTGTCTTTGACTGAATATCGTACCAGGAAAGCATTTCAGAAACAGCGAATGACCTTTCAAACGTTTTATCTAAAAAATGTTCAGCCCAACTGGCTGAGTCGTAAACTAACAGCATCAGTACCAAGTAAAGTCAAGGATTCCTTTGGTTTATTTCAAGACACTTGATTGAAAGGTAGTTTTAGTCCGCTGAGACTATGATAAATGATCGTGAGGTTTTTTTAATTTAGGATGATATCTGCTTATTGGAAGTCTTTAGTTCGATGAAACATGTGTCCATGACGGTATTTTTTCTGAGAGCCCCCTTGATACGAACACCCATGCAGTGTAACCCGGTTAATACGGACACCAAGGGGACATGCCATAGTGTCCGTATTATCCGGGTGTCCGTATTAAGCGGGCTCTCAGAGTAAACGTCAGGAACACATGTTTTATCGATATAAAGACCAAAGCAGACAGTCTTGCGAACCAAGGATCGATAGAAGTATGTGGAAAGGCAGCCGAGCGAGGGGAGCGGAGGATGATCCTGGTACAGCTCGCAGCAAGCAAACAACGTCAAAGAGGAAGAAGGTTAAGAGCAATGACTGCAACAAAAAGCCAAGGAAGTGAAACGTGTGTAACAGGAAGCAGAAAACTTTATTGAAGGACTATACGTAGTACAAGAGTCAAACACCGGAAGAAAGACAGACTGTTCAAAATCAAATATGTCACGCTACTTTGTTACTTTTTTTTTTTTAGTACTGTAATAAAATTTTATTCACCGGTAAAAGTCTGTCATTATTTGAACAGGGTACAATCAGGGGCACCCAACGACAATTTTCGGAAAAATATCTGTTCGGAAGACGATTTGAGATCTAGAAGTTTCGGAACATTTGTTGTAAAATTTCTTGTTCGCATGCCTCTCCTAGGATTTTCGAATAAATAAAAAATGGTATACCTGCCCATTTTTAACTAATTTTTACCCTAAAAAGTTCACCTAGAATTTTCGGGAGCCTATTTTCTGGCTAAAATTTTTGAAAAGGTAAGTTTTGATCCCTATAATTTTCGGATCACTAGACTTTTAGCTAGGAAATCCGAACAGATGAAAAATTTTTAGGCGATAAAAATACGCCTATATCTACCGTAACGGTTTAAATACTAAAATACATTCAACAATGCTATGTTTAAGTGGTTTTGAACTATATTCTTGTTGGGTGCCCCCGTACAATGTCTACAATTATCACACATATGCCTATATCTACCGTAACGGTTTAAATACTAAAATACATTCAACAATGCTATGTTTAAGTGGTTTTGAACTATATTCTCGTAGGGTGCCCCCGTACAATGTCTACAATTATCACACAACTGTGACAATGAAAACAGGCAGTGTGCAGATAACCAGTGTCCGTAAAGCGGGGTTGACAATATGTGAGAGTTTGTGACTCGGACACAGAAAAGTGTCCGTTGTCCGTATTAACCGGTGTCCGTATAAAGCGGGTTAATTTTGGAGAAAATATGTGAGCTTTTTGTCGCGACAAACGAAACTGTCCGCGGGTGTCCGTAGAGCGGGGTTACACTGTATTTTCTCTTCGTTCCTTCCCATAAGTCCTCGCGCATCTCAACCTAGCCCCGATCTTCTCTCACGGTTGTGCCTAGAATGCATGGATACCCCAAAGTCAGATTGTCATCTTCTCTTACCCCAAAAACACATAAATAGCGGCTGGGTACGAGTCTGACGAACAATGGTTTAATGGTTCATTTATTTCACAGTGTTTACAGAGAATAACATAGAAGTTTGCCGATGTCCGTGTAGTTGCTTAACCTCTCTATTTTAACCCGCAGTTATGGCCATTTACATGAGGTCATTTCAATTTGAGAGGCTCAGTTAATTTTTCAGAACTTGCTGTTCCAATTTATGGTAGAAATTTTGAGTTAAAACTTTTCCAGGACACTTGATGGCAGTCTTATTCTGTGTCAGTCAAGACTGTCCTAGGTAGAGTGATCAACGCAGAATTCCTTATCTAGTAGATCGGATATAAAATATAGGATCGGGAACCAGAGAAGACACAAAAGAAGATGAGATAGTAGGGGGCCCAGGTCAACCGGACCTTGAGATAAGGTGTGGAGGGGGGTGGGGGGAGGGGTTAGAGAGTCTGCTTGTCCCTGGGGCCCTTTGGTTGATCTGAAAATAGGGGGGTGGGTCTCTCCCAGGCCTCTCTCCTAGTTCCGCCACTGAAAAGCGTTTTATTTCTTTCACTGGCAAAGTTGACCAAAGTCAAAATCCAACTTAATAATTTCGTTTTGTAAAATGCTGAAAAACAAATACATACCTTATGAAAGTACTGCCAAAGAGGGTTCATTTGACTGATAACACCACAGAATTCTTTTTACAGCCTCAAATTAAACGGTAGAAACCAAAACTTGATCCTTATGACCTCTAATCTCTTTTGTATTTTACATTCTATTAGGGGGGATCTTCTTTTCTTTGATATCAGAGAGCAGTGTATGGAGGAATGGGAAAATAAACTAAAGGAGATGGAAATGGAAGGAATTTGGGAAACTGTTACAAAAGAAAAATTGTCAGTGGACGACGATGATAAGACTACGCGTTTGTGTTTAAGCTCCCGTGAAAAATATTGATAACAGAGCTTTATAATGTAAGTAAGCATACTTGTAACTGGAGTTTTGTGTATTAGATACGCATTGCTATTTTCAAGGGCGTTAAATCAGGTTGTATATGGTTGTAGATGTGATGATGAAGTTTGAGCCCTATGAATACACGAGAAAGATGATTTTTCGGTCAGTGACACAGTACTGTCAGTCACTTAATGAAAAAGAATCTTTCTTGAGGTGGTTTTTTTTTTCTTTGATATTTACAAGTCCATTTTTGTTTTCAAGGTTGAAAAAAGCCAACAGACTACAAAGAATCTATTTAGTAATATATAAGTTTTTTTCGTCGTCATCATCGTCATCGTCATCATCATCATGAGCATCATCATCATCAGAATCTATGCGTTTGGCGTTTTATATGGCACTATTTGCCTTATCAAGTGTTATATTCTTGATCTAGACACTGCTTGTGAAAATAAATCTGACCAGCGGAAAATTCCTATGAAGTACTAAAAATTATTACCCTGACTTTTAGTTAAGAATGTGAGAATGTTAAGTTGGGCTGTGATACAGTTGTCTAAGCTTTTTAAAAGCATAATAATTTTGACAATCTTTCCAGATGATGTAGTCCTTGATAAAGCCTTAAACTGCTCAACTGGAAGCTTCCGCGATTCAATAGGGATCAGTTCCCATCATTAAAATTTCTCTAAAGAGATGTCTGTTTTATCCAGCCTAATAAACCTCCGAGGTAAATCTTAGACGTACAGGAATCCATCCTGTGATTTCTAGGTCTTCCCGCTGTCCATCTAAGCAAGTTCCAAAAATTCACAATTGGGAGCTGTTATCAAGCCAATACCGAGCAGAAAAATATGGTATACAAGAGACTGATTAGGGGCCTTAGTATATAGGCAACTGGAAGGTTGAAGTCCTGGATGTCAAAAATGGCAACCGGAAGCTAATATTTTCTCTCTTTCGGTGCTCAGACGTGACAAATTTGCTACTTTCGATATATTAAAATTCAGCATCATAGCGAGTCTTGCTGGAAATACATCTGCTCGAGGGCTATTGCTTACTTGAGACAAACGCGACTCGCCCAAGCGCACTACATTTTCCAGTGCACGCGTGAAAATGTGAGAAAAGCACTTGCATCACGCTTTTTTTAAATAAACAATCAAATTAAGTGTGATGGTACCAGTGTGATGCACATTCCAAGCTGATGTTTTGCTAATCTACATAACTGGTGTTTGTTGTTTATGTTGTCGCTGTCGTCGTGGTCAATTAAGCTTTTGCGCTTTGAAAATTGGAATTTTCCGAGAGTTAAAAAAATTGCAAAATGCAAACCTTTTACATGTTTCCTTTTTTCTCATTTTGACGCGTGCATTGAAACATGTAGTTTGCTTGGGCGAGTCGCGTTTGTCTGAAGTGAACAATAGCCCTCGATCAAATGTATTTCCAGCAGGGGTAGCTAACTTTGGTAAAGCTATGTATCAGTCCCAAGAAAGACCAACCAAGGACACCCAGGATGGATTTTTTTGTACAGTGCCCAGGCCTCATTTTCTTGGCCGCGCGTTGATCTGGCCCGGCTACCTCGACGAGCATATTCTCGGCCTTTTTGGATTACATCCTTCGAGTTTGTCAAAGTCTGCGGGATTCGTTTTTCTATCTCGGAAAGCTTCATTGGTTTCTATATCTGCTGCTATCCTATTACTACGATCCTCGAATGTTTATTTTCTGTTAGAGTTCGAATTTCGTAAAAAAAGTTGTGTTGATTGAGAGCATGGCGGCGAAGATGGCATCTCTTGTCTCCTACCTTGTATGTTATAGTTGTATATAGAGTGAATTTGAACAAATTATCAGGAAACTTCGTTGGAGCAATAAGGACAACAACCTGACAACAACAACTAACTGCAGGGTAAGTTTCATTGACTTATATTTAGTATTTCCTACAAATTTTAGGATCGTATTTTTACCCCGTACAAACACTGTAATTTTACTAGAACCGTGCTGTGGTACTATCACTGAGCCTGGGTTACCTGTGGCTGAAACTTCTTAAAAAGGCTCTTATGAAACAAACAAACAACCAAAAAGAAAAAAAAAGAATAAACCGAACGTCCTCAAATTATTCAACAAGTTCTCAATAAATAAATCACTGAAATAATAACGGAAATATACTTTCTACTTGTTTGGCCTTTTTTCTTAGATAATAATGCAATAACAGTCCGAGCTCTTATTTCTCTTATCAACTATCTTTAAGTTGCGGAACGTTCGCTCAGTCAAAGCATGTTGATCACCGTAAATTTCTTTTCTAATGATGAGAGCCTTCTCAAAGTATTCTTTAGCTTCACTGTACTGGCAAAGGTCATTGTAAACAATTCCCACGCTGTTGTAACTTGCTGCTACGTCACCATGCTTTTCACCGTAAACCTCTTTTCGAATGATGAGAGCCTTCTCATAGTATTCTTTAGCTTCACTGTACTGGCCAAGGTGCCTGTAAACAATTCCCAGGTTGTTGTAAGTTCCTGCTACGTCACCATGCTTTTCACCGTAAATCTTTTTTTTAATGATGAGAGCCTTCTCATAGTATTCTTTAGCTTCGCTGTACTGGCCAAGCTCTTTGTAAACAATTCCCAGGTTGTTGTAACTTGCAGCTACGTCACCATGCTTTTCACCGTAAATCTCTTTTCTAATGATGAGAGCCTTCTCATAGTATTCTTTAGCTTCGCTGTACTGGCCAAGATCTTTGTAAACAATTCCCAGGTTGTTGTAACTTGCTGCTACGTCACCATGCTTTTCACCGTAAACCTCTTTTTTAATGATGAGAGCCTTCTCATAGTATTCTTTAGCTTCGCTGTACTGGCCAAGATCTTTGTAAACAATTCCCAGGTTGTTGTAACTTGCTGCTACGTCACCATGCTTTTCACCGTAAACCTCTTTTTTAATGATGAGAGCCTTCTCATAGTATTCTTTAGCTTCACTGTACTGGCCAAGGTCCCTGTAAACAATTCCCAGGTTGTTGTAACTTGTTGCTACGTCACCATGCTTTTCACCGTAAACCTCTTTTCGAATGATGAGAGCCTTCTCATAGTATTCTTTAGCTTCACTGTACTGGCAAAGGTCATTGTAAACAATTCCCAGGTTGTTGTAACTTGCGGCTACGCCACCATGCTTTTCACCGTAAATCTCTTTTCTAATGATGAGAGCCTTCTCATAGTATTCTTTAGCTTCACTGTACTGGCCAAGCTCTTTGTAAACTTTTCCTTGTGTGCTGTATATGTTCGCTCTTAACAATTTGTCTCCCTTGAAATCATTAAGAAAATGTACAAAATTGCAGATTGACGTACTAAAACGATGTGCATCCGACGGGTTACTAAGGTCACAGCAAACATTAGCGGCTAAAGAAAGCCACGAAACTAACTTTCTAGGGTTGATTGAAGTTAGGAGTACTTTTGATTTAGTGAAATCGGTGTTAACAATTACGTGTAATACTTTACAGTGACTCGTAATTACACGTAACTTAGCAAAAATATGCCTACTTGAATGTAACCGATTTCTGTTCTCCTCCATTAAAGAGTGAAAGATCTTAATAACATCAGAAATGCACTGAACTCTGTCTGTTGAGTCAATTTTAGATGTTGTTATTGACTTGAGCACTTCATGAACGATGTTGTGCATCCTTATAAAGGTATCTGAGCCGTCTTTGTCGTGTGAACAGGACAATAAGGAGGCTTTGAAAAGTTTAGTTTTAATCAATTCTTCTGTTTCCCCAGTGATACGTAATTTAACAAAGTCAACAGCAACTTCCATCGGAAGAGACTCAGGTGCGCATAGGGAAAACAAATACAATACTTCTCGAAGAACGTCATCACTTTCTAAAGCTCTCATAATTGCCATTTGAATAGCAGTAGTTGTTGTTTTGGAATACGCTATGTTCTGGTTTGCAAGAAGTTTTTCTGTCGCTTCACGTTCGCCGTGGGAAAGTGCTTCCAAGTAGTCTTTCCAGTGGTAGTTCGGAGAACCACTGACCACAATGGTTTGTACATAAAAGGCAGCGGCTGCTAAAGCAAGTGGCTGATACTCAAGAACTTCAGCGACTCTTTCATCGTGGTTCTGATCCTGAATCTGAGATACTTGTCGTAATAGGTTCACTGCGTCATCGGGATGCATTCCATTGCTAAGAGACTCATGGTAAGTAAGTGGAGCATTGGAGGGTATTGAGCCGCTATCTTGAGTAGTTATTAGCACCTGACCATGGCCCCATTCTTCACTACCGGTCGGAGGCAGATCCCTACAAACCAACGATAGGTCAACAACATTATCTGCAATTATCAGCCAGTTGGAGAACTGCTTTGTCTTTGGATAAATGACTCGCTTCAGACACTGGATTTTTTCTCTTGGGTTCCCCTTTGTAGACGTCTCGAGGTTGGTGAGAGTGTATTCTGTTATTCCCAAATGTCTTGCCAGACTGGAATAGGACTCTGCAAGTGAATCCAGGGTTTCTGTATTTAGGGTTGCAACGAACATAAGACTGTCGTTCTCATGCAACCTCCTATCGAAAATGTCCTGTCCCAGTTGTCGAGCCAATTGGCTTTTTCCGCAGCCTGGTATTCCTGATAGATAAATGGTGCTGATAGCTCCATTACTTTCGTTGTAAATCTCGTCCAGTTTTTTCATGATTCTTTTGACATCACTTGATCGTTTGATGATTTTATGTGATGGCTTGAATGTCAGAGTACAGAAAGAGTCGACTTTGGAATTGATTTCCTGAGTAAGTGTTTCTACTTCTTCCTGTTTTGTCTGTAATGTGGCTTGGGTCGATTGTAATTCCGAGGTTAGATTTTTGTTTTCTTGTTCTTTGGTTTTCAACTCAGCCTTAAGATTATCAGCCTGCATTTTAAGGCTGTTTACTCGAGCTGTTGGAAAGTCTGTCTGGTTTTTTATATCATCAACTTCATTTATAGGAAGCTTCAGTGAATTAAAAGCAGCTAACACTCTTGCTACATAATTATGCAATTCAGCATCAGTAAGTTCAACCTCGTTCAAGTGAGCGATATCATTTCGAACTTGTCTGAGATCGTCAACTTCTTTTCTGACTGCTGGACTAAGAGTACTGCCAATGCAATCCGAGTACAAAATAGCAAGAAATAGGCAACTGCAATCCCACTCACTTGTGTTTCCCCTTTGTATTGTCGCCAAAAGTCGCGCATTCTTTGTGTGACTCTTTCGTGATTCTTTGTTGTAGAAATCGCAGCCATTTTGTGAAATATCTTTCCATTCCCCAAACGGAGTTGTCTTGTAAAGGAAATCCCACTCTTGTTTGAAGACTTTTCGAAGCCCTTGGGGAACTAAGTTGAATGCGATGTAACATGCTCTAAAATAGTTTAATTGTTCCAAAGTGTACTCCATGTTTGATTGGGATCTAGTAAAAAATGTGTCCAAGGAAGAACATCAGGCCCCGGTTGTTCAAACGTTGGATAGCGCTATCCACCGGATAAATCACTATCTAGCGGATACGTATTGGGGAAACTAATTGCACTATCCACTGGATAGAGATTTATCCGGTGGATAGCGCTATCCAGCCTTTGAACAACCGAGGCCAGGTATCAGTAGATTATTTCAGAAAGTATTTCAAGTCAAAGATTCGAGAAAAAACTCGTATCCAGCCTTTATCAACTGCCAAACTTTTGCGCTCCTTAAGCCTGCACAGGAAAAACTTTTTTTTCTGGAATTTTTTTTAAAAGAAAGCTCTTGATGAGCTTTATTCAATCGTCAAAAAATTGCAAATCTAGAAAAATGATGATTTTTTACCCTGGATGATACCTTAATATGTCAAAGCACAGCAATAGAAAAATCAGAATAAACTAATTGAGAAATGCGTCATTCAGTTACAGTTTGTATGAAATAAATTGCAGCTCATTTCCACGCGAGCGAGCACATTTCCCATTTGCAACGCTTTCTTTCCAGCTCGTCGTGTTGCCTCGCAAGAGGCACTCGATATAAAGCTTGTAACGCGGGGCTGCCAGTAAAACGGCCAATCAAAACTCGATACAGTATTTTTAGTGAAAAAACCGTACTGTGATGTTTCTAAACTTAATACAGTTAGCAGCCGCTAAGTGGCATTCACAAAACCCTAGAATGTGAACGTCTGTACTGCATTCTCCAAATTTGTGACCGCAGACAGCTAACATATATTAGTCGAAGTTTATTTATGACAAACAAATTTAAAAGGAAATGTTTGCAGTAATTCTACGTTTCAAGTAAACAGGAAAAGAATGATACAGGAAGACGACGTCTTACCTCGAGCAACCGAGCCGCCATTTTTGTCGTCAGCATTTCATGCGAAGAAAGATACAATAAACCCTTTTGGCTATAAACTTTGCGAGTCAACAGAAAACAACAAAGCTCTACTTTTCTTGTCAGGTAAGGAAACAGTTCAAACTTTCAGCGGTTCCATTTAAGCCATTACGCTGTTGTTTGCGAAGTGATAAACTTGTGAATTGTCATGTTTGAACATTCTACAAAGATCTATTTTAAACTTTCGCGTGATTTGATCTGTCAATCAAATCGGGAGCAATGGTGGCGCAGTGGTGAGAGCACTCGCCTCCCACCAATGTGGCCCGGGTTCAAATCCCGGCGTCGACGCCATATGTGGGTTGAGTTTGTTGTTGGTTCTCTCCTTTGCTCCGAGAGGTTTTTCTCCGGGTACTCCGGTTTTCCCTCTCCTCAAAAACCAACATTTCCAAATTCCGATTCGACCAGGAATCAGGTAGACGAAGAACCACTTTGTGGATGTGCTACCTGCAATCGTTATTTATTTATTTAAATCGTACCGTTTTAATGGTTTCCTCTCTGATTTTGTTGAGATCACTTCGTGTGTATATACTAAAACAATTATTCTTTGAAATCGAGGTGAATAGTGGCCGTAATAATTGTTCAATGTACATGTATTTTCAGATGGTTAAACTGAGGTAAGTCGCTAGTTATTGACTGTGCATTTCTTACTGTGCATAACAGTAACGCCGTGAAAAAGAGCATCAGAAGTAACATTATTAAAATGAAGTTGACTGAAGAGAAACGCTAATAATAGTAATAACAATAACATGTGTAAACCGGATGACCAATTCAATTATAAAAACTGCTATCAATATGGGTCCTGCATAAAAATATATAAATAAAAAGATAAAAACATTAATTATATACGAAACTGGGATACATTACATAATTATAATCAATGAAAAAAGGTAGGGTCCTTATGAACAAAACAATCATTAAAAAAGGGTAGCCCCCTATAAAAAAAGGCCCTCTTAGTTAACTCGAGATTGACTTTATCAATAGCTAACCTATCCTTAGACCGAGTGTCATGAATATCATAAGTTCGCCGTCGAAAATAATCTGAGAAATAACTTGGAGCTTGTCCATCAAGACAATTCTTGACAAGTTTGACGATATGTTTCTCTCTTCTCTTCTCTTTTAGAATTTTCGCTTGCGGTTGTTTCTTGCCGAGATCTGACTTTGTGTGTTGGAAATGTGAGTTCGACTTCCTCAGGAGAACCTTGACAGCGTATGTTAGGCTTGTGCTAACTCACTTTGATTTAATTTCATTTTAGTGCCATCTTTATCACATTGCGTCCTAACTGTGATATGTTGATGTAAATTCTGTATAAAACGATTTTTTAATGCTTTCTTCCCCCTTCCTTTCATACATGCAATTTAAAACTCGCCCCAGTCCTCGCTCAAAAATCGGAGGAAATGCATTTGGGGGCACTTTCTGCAGCTCTATCGCAAAAACGAGTGCGATGACCCCTATTTTTTATTTCATGATTTTGATAAGAACAGTGCTTCCTTTCAATGAGAAAAAAATGGTAATAAATCTATGTTCAGGTTTTTGGCAATTTTACTAAGTTGCACGGATTGAGCTATAACGAGTCGAATAGCTCGTGTCCAAATTAAGTCTGCTACTTTGTAGCGTAAAGTAAAAACAAGGGCATTAAAAGGCATTTTTCTTGTACGTATTTAAGTCGATAAACAATACATTTAACTCAAATTTAGCCTGTGAACAGGCTCTCTGTTTGGGGAAAAAATAGCGAGGAAAGGGAGGGGGGAGAGAGCCCTTTTCGCTTTTCCCTCTCCCCAGTTCCCCGCTCGACCAAAGGCCTGTTCACAGGCTAACTCAAATTCTGTGCGATACCACATGCATCATCGAAAAAATATATCCTTTTTGTCTAACTTTGGGCTGTGCGCGGTTTTTGCCAAAGGGTCCTAAATAGCCGTAATTGTCAGCATTGTGACGTGAAAACGAGCACGGTGACCCCCACTTTTTATTGCATTTTTATCGTCTCCTTGACCTGTTACATCAGTGTGCCAAGTTTCATCTACAATCTATGTTAGATTCTTTCGCTAAGGAATCACTTTAAGTCGTATAGGGCGCACCGAATTAATAAACCCCTTTTATGCGCAGGAATTTCATTAACTTGCGCAGGAATATATTAACGCCCATGGCGTCATAGCTTCTTGTCTTTATCTCATGAATATAATGCTGCGGAATCTAATTAAGATAAGGTCGTGTGCTATTTTAAGGTGTTTTAACCGGTTTGACAGGTTTTCTAGTTACTTAAAGGTCGATAAATACCTTGGTTTTCGGTTGGGTGATCAAAAAATAAGAAACGTTTCATTGGTTAAACATGGGAAAATAAAAGAAATACAGTAAATCAAACCTCTCGGTACGGACACGTCTCTATTACGGACAGTTCGTTTGGTCCCAGAAATGCCAAATAGGGTATCATCAGGAGCCCATAACCCGGAGCGTCTAACTTCCATACTGCGCCTATGCAACGGCGTTTTCACAAGTAGGTTTATTTTTAGATAAGCCTTTCCCGCGAATTGCTTTCGAAAAGCAATAACTAGCAATTGCGTCATCAATGATAAACTTTTAGTACGTAACTAGGACAACTCCTTCACGTTGAAAAGGAGTCTTCTGACGGTACTTCAAGCGACAATTTTAGTATTTACACGGAAACTAGCAGTTCAGAGCAAGATTTGCAAAACCTAGCCAGGACGTCATCGGCGATAACGCATAATTCGCGCAAAGGGAATTAAATCGAAATCATCTTCGAAATAGCCGTTTATGAAAAGGTCCAAGCGAGCTACTAACAGTCTAAACGAAGATTAAATGGAGGAATTGACCTCGTGGAACGGTTATTTCTCGCGGGAAAAGCTAATCTAAAAATAAACTCACTTGTAAAAACGCCGTTACACGAATTTATGGCAGTTGAACGCTCCGGGTTATGGGCTCCTGGTATCATACATTCCCTACCTCTATAATACGGACACTTCTGTAAAGTGGACACTTGAATCTGTCCCTTTGGTGTCCGTATTAAAGAGGTTTGACTGTATGGTGGTCATGGTGTAGGGAAAACAATAGAAATGTGGTGGTAGCGGTGGTGGTGGTGGAGGGAAAACAATAGAAATGTGGTGCTGGAGAGAGAACAATAGAAATGTAGAGGTGATGGTGGTAATGAAGGGAAAACAATAGAAATGTACATGTATTATGCGAATACCGTCAATCCTTATTAATACGGACACCAAAGGGACAGGACCAATTACAAGTGTCCGCTTTACAGAGGTGTCCGTATTATAGAGGTAGGCAATGTATGATATTTTTGGCATTTCTAGGACCAAACGAACTGTCCGTAATAAAGAGGTGTCCGTTTTATAGAGGTGCCCGTACCGAGAGGTTTGACTGTAACGATTATTTTGGCCGGACATTGTATGTTGGCCGGGCGTTATTTTGAGCCCCGCAGCACAACGTCCAAGCTTGAGTAAAGCTCTACTCTTATCCCCTCCCCACCCCTCCCCCCTCCTACCTTCCCTCCGCCCCTCAACAGGCCGCTAATGGTAGGTCCATTCAGGGCATCAAAACCTCAATTATTTTTGCATTAATTGACATATTTTGTATTTACAAGGATGTATATCTTTCCAAGTCGCTTTTGTAAAAACAACAAAAGTGACTGGGAAAGATATATATCATTGTAAAAAGAGTCTAGAGGCTAGTTTTGACCCAGTGGCAGGTGCAAATATGCACATATCAACTAACTGTGCACTGCCCAGTTAGTTCTGTGAAGGTCTCGTGAAGTCCAGTAATCGTTAGGTCATCCATCATACTAACTAATCACAAGAGCTCAGGCACTTGATATATAATGCCGTTATTGGTTGGTTATAAAGCCCCAGGGGTTTGTAGCCCTAATGGGTCATAGATATTGTGGAATATTACATTATGTATTTGCCATGATTTGCACTAGTACAGTATTTTATAGGATTTGTGAAACGCGTTTTGTAGTGATGCCTCACTGTATTAGTGAAAATTGATCTTTAAAACCAGCCTTAAGCTCGAAAACTTAACTCAAGCATGCAAACACTCCTTACTTGACTTGCATACCTCAGAACTATTATAATTATTACTTTATTAATTACATTTACTCTGTTTTTAAATTTCTCCCTTCACCATTTATTCGAACTTCTTTGGATCACCAATCCAGAGTTTATAATGAGTTTATGATGAGCGCGGACGGCTGGCTACCCAACAAATACGGTGCTTCATATAATTACCACATATGAACTATTTTCTTGAATATTTACCTGTGCGTAGCTAGGGTTTCTGTGCGAGTCCCTTGCACGAACTTTGGCAAAACTAAATCGTTGGCCAAGCAGGCTACGGATACGGTACTCTGACAGTTCTGAAACAGGAAGACAGCGGGTTAAAGTATGGGGGTTTTGAAGTCACGGGATTTCATAGATGAGGCCTTCATAATGTTTTATTTCCTTCTATATGTAAATCGCCAGAACTGTTCATGTTTACAGACTATGTGTCAAACTCTGCAGGCCCCTTTGATATCTAATGTGGCTGCCGTTTACTCGTTTAACTCTTTTTTTCAATCGATTACTTAGGGAAGCCAGTCAATCACAGATTGAAACATCTTCTAATGTACTCTCAAATAAACCAGTACTGAAGGCCGCTGAAATTGCTAAGTTCATGGCATTACTTGATCGTCGAGGGCGCATCTGAATGATCAGAGAGAGAAACTTCGAATTCAGAGTAACTTTTCACTTAAATCCTCGTATTTACGTTTTTAAGACATCTTTTTTGTTCTGTATTCTTATAGATTCATAGACACTGAGAAGTGCCGAAAGTAAACTGCGATGTGAGCATCGCATTTAAACATTTGATCAGTTCAGCGTAAAATTTTCGCTTCCAAAATGCAAACTTGCGATTTCACTGTTTTCCGCCCCTTTGTCTGTTTTAGGCGTTCGAAGGGTGCTGTAAACTGTAATGCGATCAAATTATAAATCCTAATGCTATAGAGCGTTGACTTATCAGGGAAGGAATTTTCAGTGGAATTGAAAGTGAGATTAAATATAACCTAGTTTCGGCTGACTGACTTAACTTCCTCGGAGTATGATCGAGGTATAAAGAGTGCTTTCTTGAATATTTAATGAGGGTTTTTACTTGTTCTCACAGTTCAAAAGAAACGAAGTACTAGCTCAAAACGGTCAATAACTGAAACACACCTCAGACTGCACTAAAACTGCTAAATTTATAAAACCCCTTGATCTCCGTGCATATCTAACAGACCTAACAAGATCTAAACACATAATCAAAGATAAAATTCGGTGTAACTTTTTGCTTCAAATGTACTTACGTTTTTAACACCTTTCAGTCGGTCGTCCTACCGTCTGTAATCGAGGCGTGGTCAGATGATTAGACAGGTGCGAAAGTAAAGTGCGATACCATCAAATCTCTGAAGCTGTACTGCTATGGCGTTGACTAATCAAGGAACTTTCAGGAAACTGAAAGTGAAATTAAATGTGCTATCGACTGATTATGACCTTGCTACGGCTGACTAACTTGACCTCCTCTGACTGAGTCTAGGGGAGGAACGTACTTTCTTGAATGGGTGTTTTGAAAGGTAAATGCGCAACAAAGAAAAAAAAAAGAAGAAGAAAACAACATGTTTTTAGGGCTGTTTTGTCACCTTATAAATGAGAATATTATTTCAGAGATGAGTCCTAAAAAGAGCACATCTCTAATTATGGATACTGGCGATATTGGCAAATTTTCCCCAGTCACACCTCCCTCACTCCAGAATGAAAACAAGGAGGGCTGTTGTTAATGTCACATAATGACTATATGGACTTTAGAACAATTAACACATGATCTCCAACCAACTAAATTTACTTTAGTAAACAATGAAGCGAATTATTGCTGACGGACGAGATAAATTTGCTATTATCCAGCCGTTGTTGCGTGGAACTTGCGTCCCATGCAAGGTAATCCGGAAACCGGAAGTTTAAAAGTTGTTGCTTGCGGAATCTGGAATGCTGGGATTCGGAATCCATAATTCTAATCCGGAATCACACGAACGATTAGAAATGGCATCCATGTTCCACCGTCAAGGGATCCAGAATCCAGTGCCTGGAATCCGGAGGCACAGTGCAGATTCCAGAATCCATGTCTTGGATTAGCGTTGTGATGAAATGTTGATCCTACTTATAATAAAGTTAAATGTCAGTTATTTTTCTTTTCACTTTCCTTTTCGTTTTATTCTTTCTTGTTTATTTACCCACTTCTTCTCTTAACGGGCGTGGCTTAAATACTTTTTGAAAAAGTGATTTCCGAATTTTCTCAGAAAAAAAAACTGGAGCACTCGTGATGGACGAGGGACCTTTGTTGCTCTAGAACAACTTACAACATGTCTGAAGCTACGAACCAATCGATCAGTTAAATTAATTGGAATCAATTTGAACTGCATGGAAAGGTCAGCCTGCTCAGCGTAGTGACAACTTTGTTTACAGTGGGAAATTATAATTTCCCACTGTAAACACAGCAGCCAATGAAAAAAGGAAATTTAAATAGAAAAAAAAAACTGAATCAGCCAACGAGTTAGTGTCTCCTATTCCCCATTCATCTCGACGATAAGTTTCCCTGTAAGCACAGGGGATAAGATTTGAGGAATAAGAGCTTGCCGGCCAGGACAGTGGAAATGGTGAATATAGTCTTTCTCGCAGCCTTTTTAGTGACGCCCCAAGAAAATTTTGCAAGGGACCACAGGAACTGTTCCCTCCATCTCCTCCTCCCCTATTCCCATCCTTCCCAGTCTATTTAGCATTCAGTGTTGTCTGGCTAACGACTGCAATAACTAGAGTGTTGCTCCTCGGCTTTCACCTACAGTTGTTCCATCAGCTTCCACTACCCTTACCATAAAGCTGATTTTAACCCTTCACCGGAATACTTGCCTCTGCATTCTTCGCCCTGAGTGTGTCTTTATACTGAAAAGCCGGTTTAGAAAGTAAACGTTTGCATAGGCCGTTTCTCGCCTTGAGCTGGGCAGAAAAAACGAAAGTAGTCACAGCTAGCCAGTAGGTGCAAAATTGATGTCAATTTTCTGACAGTTTCAGTCGGATAAAAACGTAGAAAGCTTCAAAGGCGCTTAGTATGTCACGAGGACATTACTGTTTTAGGTCAATTATGAGCTAAAGTCGTACACAAAATGCTCTTGTAAAGTTATGAAGAATATATCAAACAAATTCAATCAGGGAACAGTAACCACAGTTATCATTAGTATTATTTTTTGGAATATTTCTTCAGGCATGTCATTAAAACTTGAAAAAAAAAAAGTTTCAATCCATTTCCATTGTTACCGGCACCCTTTGCAACAGATGACAGAAATCAGTTTCAGTGCAAAAATATAGTCTTAAATAACAGATCTGCATCATTATTTTTGAATTTTAATTGCTGAAGAGACAAGTTTTAGCTTTGTCAAAAGATGGGAAGTAGCCTGACATAACCCCTTTAACAAAATCGTTTATTTAAGTAATAGACCACACTATCTATGGGTTTACCGGCGTAATAACCCACTTGGGATGTTGGAAGAACACGAGAAAAGTTGTAAATCACGAGCCAATTGCACAGTAAACCATAGGGTTCTAAACAATCAGAACGCGTGTCCTATCTTAGTTATTTTATAACGACTTTTATACTAGTGTTTACGGTTCATTACATTTAAAAAATTACTTATTTAAATCCAAGCTAAAAGTAACTTCTTTTAATATATTTTCTTTTTTTGTATGCTGCGTATATAGTACATGATACTACTTCCCAGCTCAAGGTATCTTTTCTTTTGTAAACCATCGTATTTAATAAATGATGATGATCAAAGGAGTCTGATTTAAAATCAAGTTCGTTTACTATTTCTAATTAAGACTGACTACAAGGCCCCAAAGAAGAAAAGTATGTAAGAACCACATATTGACTGGTAGGGTAGATATTGCAGTTTTTAACGATACGGTTTTTTCGAGAGCTTCATAATGGAGTTAGCAACCGGCAACCGGCAGAAAGGTCACCTTTCGTGCCAGCCGTCGATCGACTGTCAGGGGAGACGCCCCCCCCCCCCCCAAATATGGCTGAATCGCACTTCATCATGCATGGGCCAACACACGTGCAACAGTCGTGGTTTAAAGAAGTATGCATAATTATTTCGTGGGATTAATTAAGTATAAGAATGATTTGGAGAACTTGTTTGTGAGTAGTATAACAAAAGCGTTATGTTCACCTTTCCCCCTCTCCAACTCTTGAATCCCGGCACACATGATTTTAGTACACATATTCAAGAAAACCGCAACGTTTCAAAGAACATGTAGGTCCATGCGACCATGCATATTCATCGAGCTATAGTTTTGTGGTAGAGTCGTTTGTTTAACTCCGAGATTTAAGAGACTACTCATAATCTACTTTTTTGTGTTTTTTTTTTCCGGTTGCAACGTTTGAAAACGCTGGAACGTACAACGTTGTGATTTTTGAACGTTTCCTCGTTGATTCCCTCAAGGATGTTTTGTAGCCCCACCCTTGTTCATTATCAGTCTTCCCTGGTATCAATTAGCTCGAGACCAAGAATGTATGCCGACGATACCAAGTCCAAAAACATTCACCGATTTAGTTTTCTCAAACTGCTGTACTTGCAGTGGAACGAGGTCTTGGGATCACATGCTTCCTGTACGTTTTCTGGAGTTCTTTTCGAATGTCTCGTTTGAAGAGAGCGTACGCGATCGGATTTGCAGCACAGTTTACGGGTATAAGGAAACTAATAACTTCCACAACTTTTTCTGATGGATCGGAAGAAAAAACTAGAAAACCAACAACACTGTACAGTTCAACGGAGTAGCAGGCAAGAAAAATTACGACTACAATAACGATTACTGCCGGGGCTGCGGCATAGTCTTTTGTTCTTTTGCGATTAGGCTCATTATATTGTAACTGGGAGTTAAGAAGAGCATTTTTACGCCAGTGTCTTCTTGCAGTTATTATGATTTGTGTCGTAGTTATAAGCAAAAACAGACAGGGAAGAATCTCGAAGAAAATCATCTTGGTTGATACGAGAGCTTTGCTTTCTAAGTTGCACTTTCCCAGGCGGGTGCATAAAGCTGGAATATAGTCGAGAATTAATGGTATGAGCCACGCAAGAGCTATAATGATTGTGGCTCGACGAGAAGTCATTAATGCTACGTATCTCAGGGGTTTCATGATAGCTATGTAACGATCAGTCGTCATAGCACATAAATTCGTTATTGATGAATTAATCGCCAGTACAGCTATATCTTGAGCTATTTCTTTCTTGCAAAGGGAACGTTCTCCACACAGAAAATTGGTGGGAAAATAGATGAAACCAACAGCAAAGTCAGCCAAAGCC